TACTATATATATATATATATATATATATATATATATATATATATATATATATATAATATCTCGTGTGTTGATCCCTACCTACGACCATGAATAAAATGGCGAACAGATGCATAAGTAGAATAAATAAAAAATACGATATAACTCGGCTACGGTAGCAAGCATCACTGCCCAATAATTGTAACCATGCACTGGAAACAAAATCCCAATCATACCCTATTTTTTCAAAATATTAGCTTACGACAAACGGCAAAGACACCCACCGTAAAATACCATCCGAACAAAATTGTTATAAGCTCAACACGGAACCAATGAGGATGTGTGTGCACTCGTCGAAGTGAGATGACTGGGATATGTTTGGATTTGTGTTGAGGGATCTCGTGTTAATGAACTGAAGGCTCTATATCGATAGACCTAAAGTCATTTGTTGACGAGACAGACTTCCACTGAAGCTTTATTACTCGGGATAAGAACGACCCATGACTTGCCTATGGCTAACATGAAATAACACGAAAGCCTACAGTCTGTTCTTTCCCCATCTTCCTCTCTCTGTTCATCCACCGAAGATATGCAGAGTGAACCATATTTTACACTATTTATTGACAGAATCCTTTATGTAGAAAATTTATAACCCATACATACTTGCTTAAAAAATAGAGAAGAGCTGAATATTCATGGAGTATTACAAATCCAGACTTCTTTTCATCCAGTCATCTCTTTTTTTCGAACATAAAAAGCAAAAGGAAAAGCACAAGTATGACATGTAAAGAAATCGAGATGAAAGACAGATTTCCCTGACAGTTTATTTTTCAGCTATTTCGTTGCGGGTACTAGCAGTGGGCCAATTCAAAGTCTGGATGTGTAAAAGTTTGAAAAACAACATAATCCAAGGGGAAGCAACAAAACAATAATCACAGACAGAAATTTGATGTTAACATTATGCATGTCTCTTAAAATCGACCGCTGTAATAACTGGATGGAAATTCGACTCGGTGTTGTCCTTCACCTTGTGCCATTGCCAGATAACCTGCATTCGGTACCACATTCCATCTCAGTACAAGTGTCACATTTTTGTGATTCAGCAGATTAGTACCGTCATCCATAAAGTAGTATTTTGGTGTAATGCTCTCCTCATGTATCGTGGACCAGTCGCCACGTCTCACGACTTTATCCCAAAGTACAATCTGTAGTTATCACAGCAGAATCTTAATTATAGGGTATTTATCGAACTGTACAGAAGAAAAGATTCATTGTAATATGGCTATTCTGAAAAATGCATGAGTGGATTATATACGTTGTTTAAAATTATACTTCATTTTTTCCTCAGTTTGCAGCCAATACTTGGTATTCATTAATTTTACAAGTGTATATATGTCTTCAAATTCACGCATTCTTTTTCTGTCCTCTCTGGCAACGGTAACGTAGTTCTTCTGAACTGATATTACAAGATCTAGTTTACATAAAAGTTAATAACTTCTTCCCACTTGTATGTTTGTCCCTGACATGACTCTTACTGAATGGGAATATGAATATACAGTATATGGAACTGCAAAATCTGTAACATGGTCAAACACAGAAATGTTCAAGTAAAATAATCCACTGAGAAATTACCACCTCCTCATTTCTCTCCTTATTACCATTTCTAATTCATGAAGTAAACTTTCTTCAACTTCAAAATATGGATCGACTAGTACTTATCAATCCTATCTTATTCGAACCTCATATCGTACCCTCGTTACATTTTCATGTATCTTTCCTTATGATTAAATGGTTATGGATTCGGCTGATGAAACAAAATTACAATTGTAATAGATGAGCTAGCCGTACTGCAGAATACTTCTTTTTTTTCAAATCCAAAATGCTACTTGAGACCTGAAGTCTAAACTTTATGAGAAAGTTACCTGATTAAGAGGTGTTTTTGGTGTGCTGTACTCTGCTACTAGGAACAAAAAAATCTCTTTAACATTCCAATTAAATACCGGAGCAATGTCAACTTTTATATTCAACTCTGCCATTACTACGTCACTTCGTGAACCTTCCGATGCATAGTCTACGAAATTCTTCCTGCAATTCATTCCAATATTTTTCAAAATTTGCAACTTCTCTTTACCAAAACTAAAGTAAGTAATTTGTAATTTCTCAAATTAATAAGGCGTTCTGCAAGTTTCGATTTATAAGTCCAAGTCAAAATCAAGAGATGGCATGTACTAACAGTAGGAGTTGTTAGAGAGAGTGACTGAGGGCGTAATATTTTTGACAAAATAAACCTCTGCTTAATAATAACCCTAATTACTCCAAGTATACCCTAACCATTTAATCAGCTCTAGCTTTAAACTGAAGTATCAAGATGGACAAGAAAAAAATACCAGCAAGGAACTTACACGCGGACATTACTTGCGGATAAAGTAACCGGTGCCGAATTCGGTAACCAAACGGTGGATACGAAAACGCAAAACGTTAACGCTGATAAGACGGAAAGCACGAACGCAAATATCGCATTGGCACGTGCCCAAACCGTATGCATCACACTTAAGAATACGAAATCCAAATGATTAAAATGCGAATTTCACACAAATAAAAACAGTTAAAACACGCATAGATCAAGTCGTAATTAACCACACATTAAAACATTTGTCTGCCTTCCTTACTTCAAATTATTGTTAATTTCATATTGCGTTGAAATTACAAAATTATATGAGTATGAAATTTAATACATTGTTCACCCGCTCTACTTTTAATATTAAATAGAATCCAGGAATGTCTTTTCAAGAAAATTGATCGGTTGTACAAAAAAGAAGGAGGAAATCATAAGAAATTAAATAAATAAATGTATGCAAGCAAATAAATCAGCAAATAGATCAACAGTAACTGTTGATATAAATAGAAGTTGCAGAAATTTTCCAAGAAACCGTGCTTTTGAACGATGGTGATAACAAAGTATCAATTTTTGAACTTTTTATTTATTTTTTATGTGCACAAAAGCAATAGCACCAATATGTATTAGTGTCTCAATAAAATCAAGACATGTACATTTTTTGTGCAAATGTCATCAGGATTGCCTTATAAAGTGAAATGTTATCATAATTTTCTTATCTAGTGAAGATCCTGTACATAAATTACGATGATGTAGAATTAATGGAAAGTCAGTTTAGCCGATATATCGTTCTAGAATTTCTCAACTCATCCAAACGATCCAAGTCATGCCACCAGTTTTGCAAAAAATTCCTTCGAACGAACAAATTAAACCATGGAGAAAATGAGACTTCACAATCTGGAATAAAACGCAATGAGCAAAATTAGAAAAAACCTTGGGAAAGTTCTCAACTGAAAACCAGAGAAATAATAAAATCGTTTGTATCGATGCTTATACCTGCACCGAATGTATTCTCTTGGATAACGATGGAATGTAACATAAGCAAAAAAAGCATGGCTCCTAAATATTATTGTGCAGGTTTAAGAAAATGTAAAAAAAAAAATGCACTTTTCAAGATTTCAGTCAACTCGCCCATTGATGAAACAACAGCTACTGCTTCAACTTCTTCCGGATTTGGCCTAATCTGTCTTACATCACAATCGCGCAAAATAATAACATAGTCAAGCTCATGTTCGCCCCAATTGTCGTCATGCATTGCTTTATACAAAAAGCGGCCCATGATCTGAAGTAAGAGACATACCATAGCTAACTTATATAAAATATCAAATAATCCTCCTTGGGAAATTCAAAGTTTAATCAGGTGTGCATGATGCTTCTTTAGTTTTAGCATAAATGAGATTCCAGTTATAGCAAACATTCCTTAATCACCAACGTAAACTAACAAAGCCTGAAAATCTGTTAAAATTCATTGAAAAAACTAATTTTCAAACTTCTTCACCTTCATTTGATCAATATCAACAGATTGAATGCCTAACTCATGATATAATTTTCTTCTGGCAGCTCGTCGGATTCCAACATTATTTTTAGTGCACATTTCATCTTCGTTCCATATCGGATGACTGCAACATGCATTTGTCCATACGGATGGAAATGTCAGTTTCTGAGCAGCTCGTTTCTGCAGGATCATTTCATGGTTTGTTGTAAACAGAAAAACGCTAAACGCACGATGCAGAGTTACTGAAAACAGAAAAATAAAACTCAGAAAAAAATTTGTAAACAATACCAACGGTTATTTGTTGTATTCACAAATTTTTTAATCCAGTGAATCTTAATTTCTAATTTCTCTTCTGAAACCCACCTTCAACAACGATCTATTAGTATTACAATACACTAAGACATATCTTCTGAATTTTAAGAAAGCCAAAAAGTTATCGGCTCGTATTGATTAGTAGAGACCAAAAGTCGGAATTAATCATAGACAATCAGCAATTGGATCAAAAGAAATAGGGTGGCCAGTTGCCACACAAAGGCAGATTCGCATCCAGTAATACCAAAAATAATTTCGAAAATATCAGTGTTTAACAAACAAAAATAAACAGATTCACAAGTAATTTAGCTGGAAAATGAACTTCCATTAAGGTGGAATTTCTACTTAACCATAAAAAAATATAATTTAATTAGTTGCAAAAATAACTTACATGTTTTGGCTGAGTGGCAGAACCGCTTGGATTCAGAACGCAAAGGTTTATCATTCTCATCAACAATGATACACTGTTCATTCAAATAATTATTCTGCACATTTAACACTGCCGATTTGAAAAGGTTATTGTTCTGTCTGCATAAACATAATGCCACTAATGGTAATTAGAAAAACAGAAAAAGGAAAAAATATTTGCGAAATTCTGCAAAGTGTTTTTTGAAATTCAATTTGGTTAAGGTTCGCACTTCTAACTATGTTCAAAAGTAATGGAGATGAACACTTATCCACTCAGAAACCATGAATAACTTGAAGGATTACGGCTTCTAAAAACAAGGATTGTTATCCCTTTCAAGACCGACAATTGGTAGGAAATTTGATATTTTGAGTGTTAGCTTCCCGATAAAATTATTTAGCGTGCTACCAGAAACAAACTTATCACTGCTAAAGGGAGTTACAATTCCCTTTAACTGTTTTATAGAACAGGATAAGAGCACAAACTTAGGTAATGAAAACCATACCATGTATTGAAATCTTAAAACAACGGCAAGATTGCCCAACTAATTCAATTCCAGCAGATAAAAATTATCCGGATACTTGTAATGGAAATTCATTCATTTTTTGTATATTATATTGCATGATATAGAAAGTTATCAGTTTAAGGTTTAAGAAAAAAGGAACACTTACACCAAAAGTTTAGTCAATGATGACATCCTAAACTCTGACGAAACCCTCCAAGAAGGGTAGAATCCTGGAATGAAGGAGAGAAAATATAACCGATTATTCTCAAACTTTCAAACGAGAGTAATACTGGATAAATAAAGACCAAGAGAATATAAATGCCGAATTTATCAAGAAGTGTTGTCTTCCGAAAATTATAACACGTCCAGTAGGTTTTTTTCCACAGCCCGTACATTAATGTAATACTAACATTCATACCTAAGGCAAATAGTAGCTATAAAACACAGAAGCGATTCACAGATCCAAAAATTATGCGAAAGCTATACCAGTAAGTGGTTTTCAAAAATTATTGACAAATTAAAAGCTCAAGTGTAAAAAAAAAAGATACTTCATGAAACTGCAAACATCAACTATCACCGACTATGACCTGAAACTTTAACTCTAATGAATTTTTAACCTTTCAAGTAGATATCATTAAAGTATAAATCATCCAATACTGAAAGGAAGCCGGAATATTTCAACCGACCAACATATAAGGATACAATTAATGCTACAAACATCGACAAAACAGAATTTCTTGAAACTTTCAGGAAGAATTTATTGAAATAACTTGGAATAAATAATCAATAAATGGCAGTAAAATAAGCTACTGTACTAAAATTATTAGGATATAAGTTGAGGCGGATGTTCCTGTCGATGTTGTTGCAAGCACATGAGTGAACAAAAACGATTATCACAATATTCAAAGTGTTTGGGAACCAGAACTGCACCACACTGAAATACAACAATAACTATAAAAAGGAGAAATAAATTGATACATTACTATAAATGGCATTAGTCACGAAATGCTAACAGTAACAATAATGATTCAAGTATCCCAATTTTAAATATCTCAAATTTGAATATTGTTAAGTGCCCTAAATTTAAACAAGAAAAACTCGAAAAAAAGAAAAAAAACCTAACCAATAATTTAATGCCTCAAGTTATAGCTGATGCTGACCAATTTCAGCACCAAACAACAACTGACCTTGAAACAACGATTGCCATCATTTTCAACAATTTGGCAACCTCTTTGTAAAGATGCAGCAAGCCGGCGTTCTGCAGCAAGGGCTCTTTTTTCTCGATCGGAAAGCGCTAAATATTTCTGACGTTGCGCCTGAAACAAAGATGATCAGTTCCTCTGGGATTCCTGGTATATGAATATTTCGCTAGTTACGAAAACAAAAAAACTATCATCGGAAAAAGAAAAGCAAAACCACTACCTGTTCTATTCTTTCGTGATGCTGAGCAATTTTTTTAGCTTTATCCCGCTGCTTCTTTTTCTCTCGTTGGATTCGCTTTTTTTCTGCCTCCTTCGCTAACTGTTCTTCATTCACTACCACCAGTTCTGGTATTTGGCTAATATTCCAGTTGAATGCATTGGGATATTCGGATCGGAATTTGCTAAACGCCTGACGAACTGTTCGATTTTGTGCAACCTAACATGATATAATTTGAAATCAAGGATAAATCTAGTTTCCTAGGATATATTGATAAATATGTTAATAAAATGCTTTGGAAAAAAAAAAATCAGTGGAAAATACCTGATAAGGAACCTTTCCCTCATTATCTTTCATCGCTGGATCACATCCTAACAATAACAGCTCCTGAAAATTATACTGATCATAAAATCAGATGAAAATGTGAGAGGCTTCTCAGTTAAACCAATTACTAATTTTTTATTCGTAAAAATTTTTGTCAAGAAGTCGAAAAATCAATATAATATCTGAATATGTACTTCCAGGATTTCCACTGCACCTCTTCTCGCCGCAACATGCAAAAAAGTTGAAGAAGCTGGTGGAAACCTCATTTCTCGGATGTATTTCAGAAAATCTTCCTTCCTTTCTTCACAGCTTTCCAGCAGTTGATGTAACTTTGAAATAGAATTCAAACGAATAGAGGCATACAAAGCTTGGGCATTTGCCTTACTCAAAAGGTTCACCACTGCTTCTTCTTGTTTCGAATTTTCGTTTTCTTTCTGAAACACAGATGAAAAGAAAACTCTGACCTTAATCTCAGCATTTGACCGGGAAAATTAAAAAGGGAACCCATACGATGGGAAATAAAGTTTGTAAAAACCAGTAGCGGCACTTCTCCAACACATGTTGACCAAAAAATCCACCACCTTTTAAGAATGACGATCAACCTTTGAAAAGTCAGAATACATTAATCTCCCTTTTTTTGGAGAATTAATTTTTAACTGCCAAAAATATGAAGTAGAATGAAAGTAAAAGTTTACATTTGGTATATTCATCACTACTTCAGGTGGCCATCGTTTCGTTCCACCAGTGATGTTGTCATTATTATCTGATTCCAGAGAAGATTCACTGGACGGATATTTTACTCCTGATATCTTACGCCGAAACAATCGCTTCTGTTTCTTATATAACTTTTTAAGCCTTTCTTGCTCCCCATTGAAATCTACCACTGACCCGTGGAAACGAACGATTTCTATAAATATAATTTTCAAAGACTTCAACCAATCCTCACTGACAGTACCAACAGAAATTTTTATTGATATGTGACTTGATGTCAAATGGTTATCATCCAATTCTGATCCACCTTGAATAAACAAGTATTACAAACAATATCAAAACAAGAAATTTACAGATCAGAAACCTTCGAACGTAGTCAAATACGATCACTCTCACAAATTTGCGCTGTGAAATCTGGTAAACTAGAAAAAAAAGGAAGAAAAAGAGATCGGCTGAAAAATAAACATACTCAGTCTTGACCATGTTCGCTGTAATTCGTCCACCGTTGGTCGGCGTGTTTCGAATGGTAGTGTCCTCAAACGTTCATCATCTCTTTGTAATTTGAAATTTTTCGTCCCTTCGAAAAAGACACGCCTGCAATATTAAAAAAAAGAAATTGCATTGTGTAAACTTTCTTTTGCGTAAAACTGCGTTAAAAAAAATTCAATTAAACTTCCTCAAGTAAAATCAAATTTTATAGGACAGTCTACGTAAAGACGAAAATTTTCAAACAATTAATGAAAGCTAAAAAATGTATTTGGGAGGGAGTGGAAACAATTAAATGCTATTTGATTATCAATAAGAAAATGATGGTACACCTTAATGTTGCTGCGTCTATCGATCACATTTTAGGTTTCGTTACGGCTTTAAAAAAAAAAAAAAATGCCTAATTCAAGCCATTTTTTCTAATGGGCTACTAATTGGCGGTTCGGCCGCCTAGCAATGAATCGCCATGGGTGACATTACTAGGAAGATTACTAGGAAGGTAAGCACGTATCGCGATTTGATATTAGAACTGGGTATATAGTACAGGACTCTAAATATTTAATTGTTACTTCAAGATCAAATTAAATGCTACAGGAGTACGAGTAATAAGGGAACGGTAGCATCATTGATTTGCTGTATGCATATATGTATGTATCGAACATATTCATTTATTCAATAATTATTGTCATTCCTGTGATTGACCAGATTAGTTAGAAGTAAAAAGCAAAAACCAGTAAAAAGACATTACATATCATACTTGAGCCTAATCATGTTTTTCTTTTTTAAATCAATCATTTTGAAGGAGAAAAGAGATATATTGCCTTAGCGACGTTGGACAACGCACAAATATTAATGGACTTTGCTCCATTAACTTCGACCAACTCATTAACAAACGTTGGATCTCGTCTTTTAAAGCTTTTTCGTTATACCTAAAAAAAGATGGCACTGTTGCGAAATTTTAAAGTTTGGAAAAAGAAACATAAAACTTTCAAGGCTTATACAACTTCATATTTAACACTTCAAATGGAAGACTGGCATTATATTATACTTTCTGTAATGGACTAATATGTCATTTCCATAAAATTGTTCTTGTGCATAAAGCATGTAGAACATATGGTTTTGTAATTGATGTGGTTTAATTTAAAATACCATATTATAAGTAAAAAACATTTATCAACCAAACCAAAATGGATGAAAAATTATTGGGGCCTAGTTTACGCAGCTCCAAGGTACTCTCTTCCTGAAGTAAATTCTGATGATACTTCTAAGTTATGGAATATTTAACTATTACATCAGGCTACATAGTAATCAATTATGATCAATTAATACATGGCTCAACTGTAGAAATTGTGTTCTGATGAACAGGAAATATTTTCATTCGGATGTTAGATTTACCCCATACTGATTCTCGTTGGTCATTAACTAGCTACGATATGCTGACCGGTTTTTCAAAACCTTTTGGAAATATTTCAACCTTCTCACACAGGCACCAGCACTTTTCGCCACAGACCCACGTGCATCGGACGCTGACTGTGCTGTCCCCTGTTTTGCTCGAATAATATAGCGATGGAAACTCTTGTGTACAACCAGTTTGTGACTAAAATAAAACAGCTCATGAATTCAAACAAAAATTCTCGTAAATCTCATAACCCTGACAATTACGATTCGAATGAATTGCAATTCATTCAAATCGGACGGTTCTGTATCAGCAACTAGTTTCACTGTATTTGATATTTCATGTATAACATGGTGATAAACTAAAATGGAATCCCTGGAAATGGAATCCCTTATGGCTTATAATTTATGATCTAAAAAGTTCGAGTCAATGTTTAATTCTTCTTTCTTTATAGGTTCATAGTTTCCCTAGTTAATTGTGCATACTGTTCAGTTCGTTCAACTAAAGGTCCTTTCATTCTGGAAGTGCTAACAGACAAGAATCAAATCTTACCCTAAACAAGGCAAGAAACTTGGACAGATCAAATGTGAATCTCATCAGAGTTGCACAATTATGCATTTCTGATCCGCACAACTAGGATGTTTCAAGACCTTAGGTATCTTAGGTTTTTAACCCTAGTTGACTAAAAATTCAAGCTTGAATCCAAGTTTAAGTCATTTGATGCATAACGCCCCCAACTTGGAAGTGCACAAATCTAATATTTGTTATGAGTTATTTTCATTGTCCAAGCCAACACTTACTTCTTGAAAATTCCACCACAGAAATGACCACCAGAAAGCAACAAAATTGCACAATCTAATGGACGCTGGAACAAATTTCGAGATATAACCTCGTTTTTCAGTAAAATACATCGATATATGGAAAACACCGTTCCGTCGCTTATGAAATAAGCATGAGCTCCGCCGGTAAATGGCATTATCTCATCATCACTTTCTGTATCCAATGAGCTGAGATGATCTGCAATGACAGCCTCGTTTATCCTTTTTTTTCCTGTCGAATTGATGAGAAAAAAGCATTATTATCGAACTGATGAAAAAAAATCTGAAAAATATTTAATACGAAATACCACAAACTATTTAATACGAAAATAAATTTCACTCAATATGAAATTGCACAATAAAGTCTCCTGAAATATCTTCTTCACAACACACAAAACATTTGAATCAGAATTATTTAAATTTTTCTAAATTAAAATAATAAATACTATTCAGTCGCATTTGTTCTAAATTCAGTTGTTTTTGTTTCCTAAACTAAATTTTTGATAACCAACTGTTGTCGGATATCGCTTGTTCAAATTCATCCTCTGTTAGTAATGGTCGACCTTGCAAAACCCGATGAAGGTTATGCCTGTGCCAGTCGGATTTATAATGTGATATTAGGTCATTTCGATCTTCTTCAATAGGTGCTTTACAAACTGTACATGAAAGGCCTGTAACACTGTCATATACTTCAAGAAAGAAAAAAAGGAAAAAGGATGAAATGCAACTTGATAAAGCGAAAAACATAGCATAAAGCTAACGTGAACACTGTGTAACTCGACAACAATAAATATTTGAAATGATCTACCAGATTCCTGCCTCTCGAAGTAAGATTCAGTTGGTTGGACTGTTTCCGTAATATTGACAAAATATGGTTCCACCATAGCGTCAAACCAGCGTGAATCGCTGATCGAATACGAAATCTTGGATGTTGTGGACTTCATTGTTACATAATATTCAAAATATCAATCTAGGTCTAAAGAGGAGAAATCATATTTGTTACGGGTAGATAAAAAAAAACAGTTTTGTCAATATATACGACTGCCGAATGCTAAAATATATATAAGGTAATTAATGATAATTAGCAAATCCTCCATCTCCATAATTTTGAATGCCAGACGTCATAGTATATTTATTATCATGAGTTTGATTTTGTTCTGTCCCAAATTTTTAATGGATTCACAAATTTCGATAGCCGAGAACAAGACGAGAAACAAAACTATTTTAGAGACAGAGAGAAATTATATAAAAGGCAAGAATATGGAAATCACACGAACGTACAAATTCTTGTTTTCAGCTTAGGCAAGTACCACAAACAGCGGACGTACAAATTCTTGTTTTCGACTTATTTCTAATGAGACTTATTTCTAATTTCGATTTATTTCTAATACCACAAACAGCGGACATACAAATCCTTGTTTTCGACTTATTTCTAATGAGCCAACTTTAAAACTCTTCATTATATACCATTTTATTCCTTACTTGTCACATTCATATTTCAAATATTTCACGCTTCTAATAATTAATACATACCTTACAAAATAAGGTAGAATTTCATAGAAGTGCCATTCTCGATCAAAATTTTTTAAACGCTAACTTAAGACTGAATCTTACCAAATTGCCGTCCACTTTAAAGTTCACGTATAAAACCTCCAACAATAATCGCGGAGGAAATAAAGGATTATTTTCCTTTTGGAACGAACTGTGGTGCAAAATAATGTCGATGAAATATAATTTCCAAAATATATTTATAAACGGCACATTACCTAATCCAGAAATAAAAAAAGAAACCTATGAAATTTCAATAAAATTATGCATCAATAAACGAGAATATAAACAACCATAGATATTATCACAGATGGAAATGGTCTAAAATAAAGCATCGCACATATGAAATACATGCGCACATATGCACATGAGAAAATCAACATAACTATACTCTCTTCATATATATATATATATATATGTGGAAAGTATAACCTGACAATTTCGAATATTAATTCACTTATGTCGGAAATAATAAATTCTGAAATAACGGCAGGTAACATCACAGCTTTAAGTTATATTAGTAACATAAGCTTCAATAGACAACATACATTCAAAGTGAGACAAAAACGACATAAGCCAAGGAAGCGATGGAAATTCTGGCCTCACTACGGCAGGGAAACAGTATGACAAAAAATAGCATATATACGATACTAAGAAATTGGTTGAGCTCAATACGTTAATGGTCAGTTATAACAGGTTCCCTGATATTCAACAATCTAACTACTTCTTGCCAATCATTATGGCTAAAGCTTATAATACCACGATTGTCCTGATCAGCAGTACAATCAAGAGCTCTTCGTTCAGCATTACCAATTAAACCTAAAAATTCCTGATCTACATATTAGAAACATATCATAGCCTTACAAAAAGACATATGAGAATATTAAATATTCTGTACGTGTTGCAAAACTTACTCAAACGTGGTATATTGTCCTCGCCAATATCTAATCCCACTTTATTTTCCTTCAATAAAAATGATGTATAGAACGCATTTGCCACAGAACGCGAGAAATCTGTTGGATGGAAGCAAAATTCGAAGTAATTAATTGACTTCGCATTACGTTGCTTTAAACAATTTTTCAGACAATGCATAACATTGTCCAGCTGCTTAGCGAGCGGATCCGTTCGTCGTTGCAATTCTTCTTCCTACAAAATCCATACCTTTTGAAAGCAAAATAATTATTTGCCAGGTCAACTTTTCACCAACGTCCTATTTACCAGCTGAAGCAGACATTTAAAGTATAAATGTTTTGGAACAAACAAATTAACTTCAACTGCTACCTTAAAACTGATCATTTCCACAAAACTTGAATGCTTGTCACCTTATCAGTTGATAACTGGGACAAATATTTTTCTCTGCCAACTACTCACCTCAACTTCTAGCAACTGCACAATTTCTTCATTCTCTTTTAATTTCGTTCTTTCTACTTTCTTCCTTGCATTTTTTTCCAATTTATTAAATTCATCGTCTATCCCTTTCGGGATTTCCTCCAACAATAACGGCCCACTAAATAATAGAAAAAAACAATGAACATTTGGATTTATTAAAAGAAAAAACTGCCGGTCAATGCGATGAGTCTATGAGAATGTACAACTGGTCTGACCAATCACTGTACTGTGTTTTTCATTAAAATATTCAGATTTTTTTTTTTTTTGAAGAGGAGTCACTGAGAATTGATAAATTGAAAAAAGAGCAAAAAAAAAAAAAACCGCTCAGAACTGGCTTTAAAGATACTACTGCTGGAAAGTCATTTCAATTAAACCTTGTGAAGCTAGTATTCAGATTTAGTTGAATTAACCAATGCACTAATTTACCAGTTTATCGGTTACTAAGTGTATGGTGAACAACTACCTGAATCTATTAACCAGCCCTTTTAACTGAAAATTTCCAAAAACTGAAACAATTACAGGCATGATAATGCAGGTGGAAGGTTGAGGACATTATTCATGAAATGACTGCCAAATGCTGCCCAACTTGACTGCTGATTATCAGGGGTCATTTTTCCATCTTCTTCGATCAAACCGCATTCATTTTTCAAAAAAGTTGTCTAAAAATAATTTAGACCATAAATCAGGAGCGCAATTTTTTAACTTCAACAAGTGCCAGGAATTTGACATATTAAACTTTGAAAGGAAATTTGCACGATCTGCCAAATTTCGGTCCTCAAGACCGAAGCTTCAACTCATGTAGTAACGATTAAAGATACTTTCAAACAGACAAATGGAACAAGAATCCACGATCCTACTGACACCAAACCATAGTTTGAAAAGATCCGCTTTGATGAGAAAAGATAAAAATTATTATTGGACCGCTCTGTACCATAAACTCCATGCTTCCAAATGTGTACAAATGTGTTCACAGCTTCCAAATAGAATTTCACGCTCTGAACTCAAATCCAAATTCAAACAGTGCGCAACTACGTTATGAACAATAAAAAAAATGTTTCTCTCACTCACTTCTAACTGGGCATTCTTCTATTAGCACTATCGTTAGTATATGCTTTTTCTTATTCATTATCAGATTCATCTCCATTATGAACAATTCAGCACTAATTCAGTAGCAATGTATAAAAGGTAACAGAAAGAAATGAAGGGAAAAATCACAGGCTTATCATTGCGTTCATTCGCATTGCTGCTACACTGGTTGTTTCCTTTTTCTTATTTGGAAAACATACCTCGTTATAAAAAGTAAACAGTTCCATAAAATATTCAGAGGTAGTAAAACTAATGGAGAATGCAACAGATATAGATTTAATTGAGAGAAGATGTCCCACTGTAGCAGCGTTTAATAACAATATAATTAGGTCTCATTATCACCTCATCGACAGAGAAAGTGATAACAAAAACCAACTCCTGAGTTCTCAAACAACTGCGGTAAACTCCAAACTGATGATCCGACTTTTTGCAGTCAGCAGCCAAAGTGAATAAACAAACAAATCTATAGTCCGATGTGCACATAGAGAATTCATGGAGCATTGTTTTTGTAGTGTAACGTCGACCAAAAAAAAAAGGAAAAACCTTAAATGTTAATCAAAGTTATACTGCGTTCAAAATATTAAGGGAAGTGAAAAAAAATATATTAAGAAATCAAATTTTACAAAACAAATTTCTCAAGCATACCAATGTTTGAACAAAAGAATGTAAAGTAATCGTTTTCTTGGACGAATCATTATGAAAATTCTGAACTTCTGTAGCAATAAGCTTCGATAAGGATTTCGTTAATTTCGCATCTGTCATCATATAACGACAAGACTGGGTCTAAAAAGACTTCCACTTTCTTAATTCATTCAGTAACCATTTTAAGAAACTCCACAAACTGTTGCGAAATAGCCGCATAAGAGACAGGCCAAGTAGCAATGCTACTGATGCTGAATTTTCTTTGGTTACTAGGAAGGAAAGAGAATTTAACCTTGGCGAAATTTTTTTCTAAGTTATCGGTTTGTTGTAAATACCTTTGAGAACGAAGATTATCACCACTTTCCCCATCTTCACACACCGTCATTGTCAACTCTGAAATTAACATCAAAAAAACCTCAAATTCGATTAAAAAAAACTGCTTAAATAACAATCCTACACAGATTCCGTCAAATTTATTTGCATGATCTTTTGCGACAACAATTCTTCTAAATATGAGATTAACACTGCTTCATCTGAAATCAATCACTAGTCAAATATATAATTTAGAATTACAAAAAGAGTTCAAATTTGGATCGCAATTATGTAGTCGCGGTACGTTGTAGAAAGGGAAATTGAAAATCGAAAAAGCTTATGAAAATGAAAGCAAGAGCTAGACTAACTATCAATTTTCTCGCATAACTGTTGTGCTGTTTCATGGTACTGTAATTCATTTTCATCATCATTACTAGTACCACACTGGTCAACATCTTCCCGTCTTCCCAAATTTTCACTCATTGATATTAACTCACTGAAATTTTTTTTTTTAGTATTTGCATATCGGTCGCCTTATAAAGGGAGAACGTAAAAAAAAGAGAAAACTATAATCAAACAAAACAGAATGGAAAATCTACTCGGTAACTATGAATCACGAAAAATCACTTTTACTTTATTTATTACTTCTAATTTGCATAAGGAAAAAAAATTTCCTAAATTCAAAACTGAGAACCACTGTAATCATTATTAGCAGTTTCAAAACAATAACTACATTCCGAAATGAAAACTTCGTTGACAGGAAATCTTCGTAACAGTTTTCTGCTCCCGTAAAAAACCCAGAAACAAACCCACATACACTGCCAAACAGCAAATAGCAAAAATTCTGTTGGTTGATTAACCACAACTTTTTTTTATTGTTCAATTGCAAATATTTTAATTTTACTACAGCTTTTATTAATGAATGAAAAGGAAAGTAAGGAACAATAACAATGTTTCAATCTTTTATCAGGATAAAAATTTAAGGAAGGGAAGTATGATAATCAATGAAAATATTAACTGACCAGTGGAAGTATTAATCAATAATTCGCCACTTTTCTATTAAATATCAAGTAATCAACTTCTCAAATGAATGAGATACTAATTTTTTTTAAAAAAAGTAATAGTCGTTAGCCACGAAAAAGAATTCTTCGGAAAATACAATAAATTAATGAAAAATAAACTATAACTTCAATCTAGTAACAGTACGTCTACTTAATTTAAAGCACAAATTTTTATGCAGACTTTTATAATACGCCGAAGTTAATCACACCAAAACACGCCTTTATTTCACAGTATATTTCGTTCCATTACATTATAAAAGAAAATGTTAACAATTTTTCGCATATAATATTATCTGATAACTAGATGTAGGACACGGTAATGGTAAAACGGAAGTCTGAATATTTTGGAAATTCGGAAAAACAAGCTGTTATCAATCAATGCACTTAACAATCTCACCAAAAAGTTTCATTTCTTGAAAATCAAATATTTTAATTTTTAAAATTTATCATTTCTTTGATCACCAACCAACTTAAATGAAAAAAAAAGAAAAAGACATAATAATATGTGCTTGAAATGGTAGTAAAGAAGGAATGTTAGCCCTTAAATAGGTTTGAAATTGTAAAAAGCCCAACAAAATGGAATCCGAAATCACTCTACAATATAATGCCATTTATCCAATTTTTTAGGAATACCTTTCTCAGCACCACGCGATGATTGCTGAGTAATGATTTTTTTCCAGTTATTACTGTTTGCTCGATGCGCCGCTCCATCCATATCAGACGTCATTTCAGTATTTAGCTGTGGTGATGGTTCTTTGATAAGACACTTCCAGAATTCATGCGTTTCAGAAATGATACCTAAAAGTTTGCATGCTTAACCATGGGCACCACTGTTATCTAAGAGTTCGTTAAAACAGGACTGAAAGCTAACAAATGGTACAAGCAAACAGTTTATGTATCATAGCTTCGGAATCAGATAAAAATTTGGAAGGTGATGAATCAAATGAGAGAATTAAATGAAATAACCAATTCAAATTAACTTTTATCAACCTTACTTAACGTTAATCTAAATTTATTAAAGCAAATTAATTAGCATCAAATACCCTAACGTGAACAATCTTTAAAGTAATTGTAATGTCATCCAAAGAAATGCTAACAATCCTATCTTACGTTTATTGATTCAAACTGAAAACAACAGAAACATAAAAGACCGTAATAATTTTACTTTGCTCAACCTGGCAACCAATCTTCGTCACCAAGAATGCAGTTCACGTTCCAATCAGAATCATCTAATCCTAGAGATGAACTTGTCGAATTTAAAGAAAGCAGTTAAAGTCGTTTTAATATTTGCTCCTAGTTTATACAAAAAAAAGTAGGTACATACCATGTGCAAAGTCAGCATCTTTGAATAATCCATTGAACGCAAACTGATTGGCTGGTTTACCTGCCGGAATCTTGTAATTGCGGAACCATTCACGTGTTGCTTTCAGAAGACCAGGAAAATGCTTCTCTATGTCTTTAATTTCATTAATCTGATCCGCCTTCTCATCTGTCATATCGATAGCAATCAATTTCCAATCTGTTTCACCTTCATCAATCAATGCAATAACACCGATGACTTTTACTGATATCACATCACCACGTCGATGAATTTTGGAACCAATTTCGACCACATCAATTGGATCATTATCACCGTAAGCTCCTGTATCAGGATCTTTATGCTTGGGATCTTCCCATGTTTGCGGGAGCGCACCGTAGTTCCAAATGTAGCCTTTAAATGGGAAAAAATTATCCACAAATCGTGGTTCACCATTCTTCACATCTTGTTTGATCGGTGTCATCGATTCCTTGGTTGATATTTCCATTTTAGCATTTGTCCATCGAGGAATTTCAATTACCATGTTGTAAATTTTCTTTGATTCATCCACAAACAAAGGTATATCATGCCATGGTGAGATATGGCGGTCATTCTGATCCTTAAAGTATACTCTATAATCCAAATCATACAATGAACCAAATTCTTCAGTAATATATTTTGTAGAAGACATTGATGATTGATAGAAAACGTTCCAAATATGAGAGAGGACTGTTACTGGTGGGAATATCGACTTCGTCAGCAAAAGTAATATATTTTCGCACAGAAACCGCATAAAATAATGTTGAATCGGAATATAATGTTGAGTCAGGATATGGTCCAAAAAAAGGAACTGAAAATAAGTGAAAGTAAGCGAAATATAGCAGTTGCGCTAATTTATCATCAGCTTCTTTTTTCTTGTTGGTTCAGACCAACAACCCATAAGATTACGGGCAATCATCCTCGATACGTCGTGACATCAACAAATCAATAAAAAAAAAGAAATGCATCTCTACCGTGGTCATTTCAGTTCCTATTACCATGGCCATAGTGAACATGCACTTTTTCTTTTTTAAATGTTGGTTTAGATCTTGGGCCAATAGTCCATAAAAGTTCTGATTAATTTGATGTCGTACGTATAGAAGATAATGCAATTATCTTCGATGCGTCATGACATCAACAAATCAATAAAAAGATACATATGTAATATAACCACTTCAGTTCCTCTTTCTAATTTTCTCACATTTAAATTCTCTTTGTGAACTGGAAAACTACTACAGATGTGAGATCATTTATTAATCACCAGAACTATAACCGACTAAATTCGCTAAATGGAACTTGAAAATCAAGGGCTAAAGCACAGATGTAGGTTAATTGAGCGCTCTTAAATCAAATAATATATTAAATACGATGTTAAATCTAATATAATGAACGACCAGAATAAAAGAAATGAAGTACCAAACAAAAAGAATGAGATAAACATGGCATAAACAGGTAGTGCAACAGGTAGTGAAACATTGACCGACGAGCTATCGATGTCACTTCTTTGTAGTAAGAGGAATCACCATGGATGAATGCAAAACAACAGTAGCCACATCCCTAATGGCTTTCCAAATATTACTGAAACTTTAAGCTTGTGAGAATTTTAAATAAAGCTCGATTAGCCTGAGACAATATTTCATTACAGCTAAAATTGTGTGCTAACGCTTAAGATATAAAAAAAAAAGTGATATTAAAGCGTAGTATTTCGATTTCAGATATGATGAGCAATTTGAATAAAATTTGAACATTCAAAAAAGGAATAAACAAAATATTTTAGCATTCGAGAACGTACTAGATCGAGGATTTTGAAAAATTAAGAATTTTGAATACGGTAATTCCTCACGTCAGCAATATCTGACCAATAAGTACTTCTTTTGAATTCAAAAATACTTTAGTCACCAAAAAAAGTAAATATGAAACAAATAATCATATAGAATGATTCTTTTTTTCTAATTCTTTCTGAAAATCCCACACAAATCTTTTAATATGGATCTTTCCAGCCTTCAGCAAGACTATATGTATCACGACAATGTAACAATGCCACTATCTACGAATATCTATTTATTACTGAGCAGGTGCATCTTTTACAACTTTGTATAACCCATTTACACAAGAGAGCAAATTCATTTTCACTTTTCGTTGCAAAAATGCAACAACATCTTCCAATGTAGGTCCATGCTGTCCTGGACTTGCAAACATCCTGAAAAAAGTGCAGCTTCATTTGAAGCTCAAAACAGGCAAAGAAGAGGATGAATCCAGCTAAATCCAACCTGGAGTACTAGTAATTTGCGAAACAATTAAAAGAAGTTCGACTGTAAGCAATAGTAGCCTTTGTCAGAAGCGTACGCAAAATTACCAATTACACAATTATCAACTTATATGATACAATATTTAGTATAAGAGCAATAACGAATCAAACACAAAATTTGATCACCTGAAGATGGTATGCAACCGTTCAGCTTTGACAGGTTCCTGATTAGCGATGAAACTTTTCGTATAGATCCAGTACTGTTCCAATGTATCAACTGCTTCCATATCATCATTCTTGTCATCATCTGATATATCCTCCTCCATATCGTGCTCAACTTGCAAACGTTCCATTTTCGATGTCCCACTTGCAAGATGCCAAGTTTTCGCTTCACTTTCGCCCTTCAAATTTTATGAAACTTTTATATTTCTCTGTATTTTTAGTCGAAATTTTATTTTCAAATAGAATTTTGAATTTTTTGATAGACAAATCCATTACTGAACAAACATCAAGTGCGTATTCAATGAATTAAAGTAACAAATCTAATGGCTGACAATTCTGGAACATCATTCTGATCATATCCAATATATAATTATGTCATGAACAGAAAAGATATTTCGATGAATGACTGAACAGTTTCAATAGCTCGCCTGACACCTCATGACCTGTTAGATTATGCAATATCAAATATTTCGCAGAAATATGATTTTTTTTTATGATTTTCATATTCAATGACATTTTTCGTAACTCAAGACATTACTTACCGCAGAAGCATAAACAACACCACTGTTTTGCCACCATTCCAGCCTCTTTTTAACATTTCGTTTGTCCATTTTTAGTTCAGCTGCCATTTCATCAACTGTCCAAGTTTCTACAAAGATTTTGGTTCATATCGATTAGCTTTTTCATCAAGTTTCCATTTCTAACTGGAACTCTTTCTATGGTATTTAAGAAATCTCGCTCATCGACATATTTTATATGCCTGATACTACTTTAGACAAAAAAAGCGGAACAACAAACCTTTCTTCGTAAACAGTGATAAAACAGCTGCGTGAGCTGGTGATACAGCAACTACAGCCTTCACATTATCCAGTTCTACTTCCAGTTCGATAGAGCCAACAGCACTCATCCATTCCAACTTTCGAGATCCCTTATGTGTTTCGAATCCACGAGCATACTCATCTAAGCCGGTCATCAATGCTTGTGGCATCTATAAAACGATGAAAAAAACTCGAATTGGAAAAAAAAAGGATGATTAAACTTTTGAAAAAATAGAAGAAAAATACATACCGCGAACTCTTCATTTTCAATTTTTGGCCAGAAAAATGATGATATAATTCGTGCATTGATCGGGAATGGCTAAAATTCAACTACTTAGTATTTCCATTCACATTTTTTTACAACAAGTACACAAATTTGCTGTTCATTTGTAGATTACCCGGTTACTGGATCAAACAAAGTGTCTGATGGATGAAATCGTTATTCTCATTCAAAGGTTATGTTTGAAAGATTGTGTAGCATGAAGGACATGATGTGCAAGGCTTAACTCCAGTGTAATACTGGAGTAAAATGGACTTTCATTCAGTCATATTTGTTAATTTAATATCCAAATTTTGAGATAACTCCAAAAGCTATTAAAAAAATTTCAACATAAAATCCATTAATTCACCAGCAAATTATCCACTAAGCGATCAATATGCTCTGAATCACGCATATCCTTCAACATCACTTCACACTGTTGCAATTCCCCTTCACTAAATCGAAGTTTAAGTAATTCCAAATAGCGCTGCTCAAACTGTGGCTGAAAAAACTTGAAATCGCAGAAAACCAGTCATTCAGTTAGTATTCCTTGCTGAAACTCTTAAATTCATGTTTCTTCTTCTAGCAATAACCATGTCATAGTTTCCTCGTCCAACCACATCGACAGATAACTTAGGATTAATTCATTGAAGTAACAGTGCATCGGAACATAATCCGAATATCAGAAGTTGATTATATATCATCAGAATTTAAATGTCGGATGGAACACGCAAAATTATTCGAGAATACTTACATCTCGATTCCAGGACTTCGTGAGCCGTTCAGCGAGCAGTTCACGATACTCCTTGACAAATATTTCTTTACTTCCATAAACGGAAACCAGCATGTTAAAAACATCTGCGTTCTGTCGATATCGACGGCTTTGACAGGGATTTGCATCTGGTGGATCTGGCAGCCAATCCATCCAACTACATTCTGAAATTTTAAAAATTAACTAAGATACAAAATGCTTTCAATTAAAATCGAGTTCATACAATCCGCAGTTTACTATATACACTTTAATATCAGTGCATGTTTCATTTTTCCTTATCTTTTTTTCAATCTCTCATCCACAATGATATTCTCTTAAAAAGTAAACTCAAGTAATGACAGAATCTCCTCAGCTTGACCTCTGTATTTGAAAGAAAAAAAAAAACTCGCCAGCGGTGTCATCTGAACCCGGAACAAGCTCATCGTTCACTCCCACCAACTCTTCCTCATCTAGAAAGGCTGTTTTTCTCATTGCCAATTGCTCACTAAGTTCTTCCCGTTTTTCACCAGTAATATAAGTTATTATACACCGAACCGTATCGGGTCGTTGTCTGAATTGAGTCAAACTGGCTCACTCACTGTTAAAATAGCTTTATCAATTACTAACCGGTGAGCTAAATTTGTTATCAATACATTAACAATTTTAAATGAGTGATTAATGCCCCGATATTTTTGCAATTTCTAGACAAGTCGAAAATTAGGTTCAAGAACAAACATATACATATATTTTTATGAGTAAACTTGCTAATTAAATACCGTCAAACTATGTTCTTCAGGGTAAATTAAAAACTTATCGTTTAAATCATTACTTAATATACTGTCTTATTATAGAGCATATCTGTTGCATAATCACACATGTTGGATCTAAACGTCGTAAGCATTCGACCGCATTCGCGTATCCCTCCAAAATTTCCGTTGTTCCAACGCCTAAAAAGCAATTTTCTTCCCTCCAAAATTCATACCTTACACTACTTAAATATTAAAGGCGTTTTTATGCATATATGCAATTCAATTTTTTCTATTTCACAATGTTCGACATAGGATTTTATCTTTACCTCGTATCTGAGACTTTTCTAATTAGAAAAAAAAATTACGCTAACCAACTTGCAGTAACCTCTGCTCGACATCTCTTGTTAATATATCCATCAATAACATCCGTCCAAAACCACCATTATTTTGCATACAGCAACGTAAATTATCGATCACTCCACTTGACTGCGGATATTCAACTATTACAAGATCATAGATCTGAAATGTATCACATGTCCATCGTCATGAACACATGTTCCAGTCTTCAGTTCGAACTTCCTATGTTAATAAAAAGCGATTGCATGCCATGCACAAGATGTGCTACTTAACTGATCACCACATTATCCATTATATTCCACGGATCCAGTGAAAGCTATGTTTTTTGTAAAATTATATTCATCATATTTGACCTGAGGATCAATACTTTTAGATCAAGCCATACCTTTTCAGCAAGCATAGTTATAAAACATTTTTCCATCGCTTGCTGAAGAGTTTTTTTTGTCGGCTTTAATCGTGATAAGCCTATCATCACAGTCCAATCCGTGATGCATCTATATCGCTGTAAATCTTTATAAATATCAGTCTTTCACTTTGCTGTTCCTGTCCCTCTCAGTTTTTCATTACCTCACTTTAGTTTTTTTCATCTCATTTATAATATTCACTATCACTTGATGAAGAATGTAGTTACAGATCTTATATTTTACTTCACACTTTGCACCAAGAAAGTGCGATGCACTTATCATGGTGATGATGTATATTTTAAACAATAGGATAATTGCATTTTCCTCTTTAATCACATCAGTGGGTGAATAAAATGATGTACTTTACAATAAGGATACGCTCCACAGAGGAATTTTATCGCAGAAATATGGATAAATCCCAAATTTTTGATCTACATTTTCTTTGAAAATTCAAAAATACCTTTACCCCTGTGTTATCAGCAAGTGATATCATTTCTGTTCGCATTATACATTTACGTCTTGCCATATCGGCAATAATATGCCAGACTGCTTGATTATGAGCTTGGGATACAACTGACATAACGTCGAAACTATCCGAGTCTATTCTGAAAATGCTGTGACCTTAAATTGCCTTGATTTTTACGGAAAATGTGTCCCATCTTATACCGATTGGAAACCTTAAACGCTTATCCATCCTGACATACTAGTACGGCATTTTAATAGGAAATTCTGATGTTTTATGACCTCACTTTTTATTTGCTAAACAAATGATTTGTAATAACATGCAATTTTAAATCAAAGTGATTTCGCAGCCATATCACTGAATAAAAACTTATCTGAAAAGTTAGACAATACATCACACCTGAGATAAAACGTGCAACGTGTGACACGTACTCAAGGAGTGCTTCCATATACAGATGTACAGAAAAATGATAACTAACAAGTGCATTACTGTTTCTCGAAGCATAACCACCAAAGCTTCACAACAAGCAGACGCTTCGCTCTCCTTTGCTTGCAATGCTTCATATAAAGGAAAGCTTACTTTAAATGCATTGCTCACTAACATTTTTATTTTTTTCTCCATCTGAAAAGAAGAATAAAGAGTAGCAATGCAAAATATAAAGTGAAAAAAGCCAAAGATGACAATTAAGTCCTTTCATGTTCAATGTTTCATGCTTTTGGAAGGCCCTCCTTCTATATCATCTTAGTCGCTACGCGTAGAGAATTATAAACGAATGGAACCCAAAGTACTAAAAACGTCAAACGCTTGACATTCAGCACTCCATGAATACTCGTAATAAAAAATTTGAAAGCAATAATATAACAAGTGTGTTTTAAAATCCATAACTATATGCAATGCAATGCATGTATCTATCGATCTCAACAAACTTGAGAAAAGCAGGACTTTGCATGTAACTTCCATCCCAACGACACATGTAAGTTAAGAAAAGATACAACAAAAACTACGTTGACAAAGGATTGAAATTCATTGATATCCTTTCTTACTACTAAATTTGTTCAATGTAAAAGTTACCTAGAAATAAAATATTAATTTCATCCAATAAGTATGTATGTTCAAAACAAAAATGGAAACCAACATCAGATTTAAATAATATATTTCCAGCAAAATGTAAAATTCTCGTTCTAAGATATTCGGCACTATGTTTATTTCCATCCATAATTTTTCGAACTTTCTGGAAAATCCATGGAATAAATTAGCCAATAATTCGGAGAAACTTAAGTATCAAAGTAAACAAAAGGATATTCGGCTTACGATTAAAAAAAAATTTCTTGTAAAACATATAATTCGTCTCTGAAATCCATTCAACTCCAAGCTTTATCTTGAAAATTACGTAGAAGTGCGCTCAAACGTTTCATTAGAATTAAGTGTTGTTATTTCACAATAGAACTGCCACTACTAGGTTTCCCAAACGACAATCTTGCTTCCAACACCTCACACTAGTGTTCCCAACCTTTTCTTGACCAAAAAGCAATTTAGGTTTTTTATTTGTAGTAGGAACCATAAGATTCAAAAACAATAAATTATGCTAATATGAAAATAAACTTTGATCAAAATTATTGACGTATTAGTTTAACAAACACTGATAAAAATGTTTCTGCCTGTTTTATACTTACCGCGTCACCGCCTCGGGACCGTATTTTAGTTCTCTGCCTTAGATGGACCATTATTGGTTTTAACACTCTTCTTTCAATGCATTTCATGTATTTGAAATTCAGAATTTAAAAGCAATAAGACAGCAGTGAAACTATATAATCTATAGCCTCGGAAATCTCGGAAACTTCTGAACCTACCTTACTAACAGCATTTTCGACAGATATCACCGTTTCATGCAATGCACTTATTATATAATGATTTGGAAGTGATAACATCTGATCAACAGCTCTACGAAAACGTGGAAGAATGGTTGCTGTTACGAATTCTCTCAAAATAAAATCACGTTGTTTCACTGATTAAAGCTAGTGATAAGTGGACAATTGACCAATAAGAAGAAAATTATTTTAATGATAAAGACTTGAGTAGTTCTGAATTTACCTTCTTTGCTGGAAAAGCTAAGGTGTGGATTTGTCTAATGGTATTTTTCCTAAGCTACACTTGTACTAGAGGCGAAAGTAAAAGAACTATTACCTGCATATTGCGCATCCCTTTTCCGGATCCATCATGGCTACATCTTCTGTGGAGAATGACGCCATCTCACAATTACTGCAAATAATGAAAAACGGTACACCATGTTTTTTAATATCAAACGATCAAGCAGAATGGATAAATTGCAGAAAATTTCGTCAACCCAATCTTTATGACAAAATTTTTCCCTAGTTAGCATCCAGTCGCCAGAAATGTCACCTATGAGAACAGTTACCCTTTGTTCGTTTTGGATGGAAATCAATCAAGAAATTTGTTTGCCAGAATCCTAGAAGAGTCGAAATATCTGAACAGCAAAGATTTAAAAAATGAAAGAAAACAGCTTCGGGATAAGCGAAAACATCGCGAAAGACAGCCTCCAATGAAAATGAAATAAATTCCTTTTCGAATAAAATTTAAAACGCTATTTATATCTCAGTTCAAACCCTCAACTTTGACAATGCTAGCCAATATTCCGCGATGAAAATCTCCGCTCTTTTTAAAGAAAGCATGAGATCAATGTCTAAAATACTCAGACGACAGAACTGTATGAATAAATTATCATTTCAAAGGTTACAGTAAACAGTAAAGGGTAAATACTAAAAGGGTAAATAAAAAATGTAAAGGCAAATAAAAAATGAATTTCAAGTAAACATTACATTTAGTTAAAAACTAATGCAGCAAGAGAAGTATATTGTTTTCTTTTCACAATTTTATTTTCCCACTTATTTACAACTTTAATGCATACAAAACAACGATAACGCATCTCATATTCGAGCATTTCCTAAACGTGTCAGTTCTCGACCGAATTTTTCGTACAGTTCTCCACCTTCCTAAAAACAAAAAAATAAACAAACTTATGTCAATGAAGGTCAGAAAAATAAATCCAAACTTAAACGGCAATAAGTGTGCTATAACTTTTCTAGAAACACTACTTTAAATTACCAAAAAAAAACCCCCAAAAATGGATAAGTTGGTAAGTCACACAATGACCGTAACTATTAATAATCATGAATTTGCATTAATTTGAAAAAAGAAATTTATTTTAAACAACCCTAGATTCGAGTGAATGTATCACCATAACGCAAAACTAGTTTATCAAGTGTGAATCATAATGACCCACATAAACCCCGAATGCAGAAGGAAATTATTTCTGTGGCTATAAACGTAGTACTAGTATAACATTTTAGAATATATCAATTTTCCGTTCAAAACTTAGCGTTTGGATAAATACTCCTACAAATTCATTTGTCCTGCCGAAAGTTTTTAATTAATTTTTCTTTTTGATGTATAACCTTAAAAGCTGCACTTGGTTCTCTCATTGTCACGGCTATTCTCCGACCACGGATATGCTCCGGAAAAACGGCATGCCTCCATGAATAGCGAATCTCATCCGACATACACACCATTGTCCTAACAGTACTTTTAAAAAAAATTCTTTGCTTAACAAAGCTTGCATAAATACATTATTCAAACTCTATTTGTCCTTTGATATATTATTACTTAATGATCCTGTATAGTATAGAAAAAAAAATCGCCACTTTTCTTCCTGCTCTCCCTTATTTCTGATTTATTTATTCAAAAAACCCGACAATCAATTCTATATCAAGCTTGCAACTGCGATATTTCAGTGCAAGAAATGACGCAAATTTTCGACAGTATAGCTTAAGTATACCTGCTCGGTAGTGGGACATAGATGATCAACTGCTTCGCGTCATTTGTGTATGTCAGTACCGACTTGCTCAAAAGGTTGACGCTAAAACTGCGACAAATATCGAAACAAGGAAAGATTATGTTCAGAAGAGAAATAATTGGCGGAAAAAATGAGCAGAATTACAATTAAATTCAGTTAAAAATGAGAAGTTGGACATTTGTGAAATTTTTCAGATTGAGAGGAAAAAGTAAATGATAGAATTCTTCATCAATTCCGAAATTTCATTTCTCTTTTGTTTGCAAAAACCTCTAAAAATATTTCGACCACTTACAAAAAGCTACCATATATATATACAAAGAAAATGAAAACTAGAAACAGACCAAATCAGGCGTTCTCCCCAAATCCATGTATCATCGTAATGCATTTCAATGTTTGACCACCGATCGTCGCTATACTCCAAATTACATAATTCAAATGGCTGATAAGAGCCAAACAAATCAGGGGAAATAGAATTCATTCTATTCAGTATTACGTCTATGTAACTCGGCATCCCCAAAAAACGCTCCATTTTTATTTTCTTATGTTTGAAATTGACACGTGGACCATAATCCTGTAAGTAGACAGCACTGGAGTTGTTTAGCAATCAATTTCCATGAATTTGAATGAAAAAGTGCTATGAAATGAATATAAAAAATAACTGGAAGAAGCCTCAACTAAATCATTGTTCTCTTGATTTCAGCCGCAGAAAGCTTTAAGCAAATTATTAATATCCTGACTTCAGTATTCACTCCACCCACAGTTCATAAAAAACCCTTTCTGCCCGAATACCTATATTTAAAGACAACAACAATTGAAAGATCAGAAAAACAATTGTAAGAAAAAAAAAAATTGTAAAAAATTGTTAAAAAATAAACAATTGTAAGAAAACCTGTTTCCGACGTCCTGATTGTGAAAGCACCCAATCCGTCCTATCAATTACGTTAATGAGGTCCATCTCTTCAGCTTCGGTAAGGAAATCGGTAATAACATGCAGACCAGGAATGATCAAATAATCCTCAAATATTTATAACTGGATTAGATAGTCTAGCAATGCTTCCATTAAAATTCACAAGTACATGCGAT